TACTATTCACTAACATCCACGACAACCCACCCACCCCCAACAACCCCCCTCCCCCGGCTACTCAGTTTCATTCACGACAACCCCCCCACCGGGCTTCACTCATAAGTTGCATGTGACGCAAAACGTGAAAATTAGAGTTGCACTGGTCTGAAAATAGCAACAAACCACGCCAAACACATCTTGTATATATGTTTTGTACTTTGATTATTGTTATTGCTTTGGCAACATTGTGCCTTATTTCACAGTCATGACAATAAAAATCTTTGAATTAGTATTAGAATTAGTTTACTCTCTCTCTCTCTCTCTCAGCCTCTGGACTCCACATTGCAGAAAGTCAATGACTTCCACAGCCTTGCCCGTGCACAAGGGACGTTGGGGGCAATCTGTGTTGAAAATGAAATGGTACAAGCTCAGTTTTCACGCTGCCTCGGGCTGTATTGTACATTAGGCAGGACTTACATTGGACTCCTGTCTCTCTCAGTCAGCAATTAGGCAGGCTTAGGCGAGTTGAATGATTTAATTTTCAGCGGCTCTGCCAACTGTGTGTCAGCCGCTGATAGCATGTTATCTCTGGCTCTCTGTCCCTCTTCTTTCTCACACTAGTTCGCTCCGTCTGGCTTTGTGTCAATGTGTGTTTAAGTTTAGGAGTGCTCTAGGCAAGGCGGAGCTTTTGACAATATCAGCATATGTGCTTATCATTTAGTAATGTAAAAGAGCAATGTGACTTTTTCAGTAAAAACTTGAAGCATAAATTTACAGAGAAAGAATGTGTTAAAGATATAAAAACATCTGTTTATGTTTTCCAAAACAACTCACCACAGAGTTATGAGATCAATCTGTAAACATTTTTAAAATGTCAAATGAGGAAAAAAACATGAGTTATGGATGTGACCCAAGACGTCTGCGAGTTTACAGTACAACATACGCTACCTGACAAAAGTCTTGCCACCTATCGAAGTTTTAGGATCAACAAATAATAACTTGACTTCTAGTTGATCATTTGATATCAGAAGTGGGCAGCACTGTAATTTAAATGTAATTTACATTTAAATGTAATGGGCAGCACAAATGTCTTGATACCTCAGGCTGTTGATGTTGCCATCCGCTCTGCAGATCTCTCGCACACCTCCATACTGAATGTAACCCCAAACCATGATTTTTCCTTCACCAAGCTTGACTGATTTCTGTGAGAATCTTGGCTCCATGCTGGTTCCAGTAGGTCTTCTGCAGTATTTGTGAGGATTAGGATGCAGAACAACAGACGATTCAGCTGAAAAATCGACCTTCTGCCACTTTTCCAAATGATCAACTAGAAGCCAAGTTATTATTTGTAACTGAGATCGAACACAAGACTTTTGAGAGGATGTGTACTTTGTACACATTCTGTGAATTAAACTGAATTTAATTGGTAAATCAAATACAATTGTTTAAAAAAATTGACATTTTTGAGTATTTTAACAGTGTACACTATAAAATACAAGCCTACACACACAGACACACACAATAAAAAAAAAAAAACTAGAAAGGGTTTCGCTATTTTGGTGAAAACTTTTGCGTGGAATTGCTTAAATGCGTTGAATATAACTTGCCATTGACACTGATGACGAAAACCAGCAATAGTGATTTTCTTTATTATTGCGTAATAATTGCTATATGGAGCGTCACAGTGGCTTAGTGGTTAGCATTGTTGCTTCACAGCAAGAAGGTCACTCGATCGAGTCACGGCTGGTCCTGCTGGCGTTTCTGTGTTTGCATGTTTTCCCCGTGTTGGTGTGTGTTTCTTCCAGGCGGTCCGGTTTCCCCCACTGCGCTATAGGTGAATTGATTAAACTAAATAGGTCATAGTGTATGAGTGTGTGAATAAGGCCTCGTTTACACTAATACTATTTAGTTTTGATGCATAAGTTTTGCTATGGTTACGCCATCCGTCCACACTACACCAAAGTTTTCGAGTGCCGAAAATGGAGCTTTTTGAAAACGCTTAAGAGGTCGTATTAGTTTGAAAACGCTGCTGCTCTGTGTCGGTGTGGTAGTGGGAAAACGGAGAAATCTGAAAATGGAGGCGTGACTGCAGACATCCGCCTATCTGATTGGGGCTTTTTCCTCAAAATTAAGTTGCCTACACACAGTTCAGTCTTGCATCCTCTCCTTGTAAAGTTCAGACTTCGCAAGTTTGATATAGAAAACAAAATCCCGAGGACACGTACGGGTGAATCTTCAAAGGAAACAGTGTACTGAATAACCTCATTCACATCACCCTGGCTACGTTGTTTCACTTTCTTAACAATAAATTAAAAATATGATATGAGGAACTGCCTATTTTTATTTTGATATTAGCATCTTAACACGACACCAAAATGTTGAGGCGTCAAGTAGCTGCATATTTATATGAGCATCATCTTCACTGTATGCATAACAAAACAGAGCCTATAACAATTCATCCTCATTGAAAATACAAAACATACCCTTTCTTTTGCTGAATATCAGTTTTCATAATCAATAATGGCCATTATATAAAAATATAACGTACAATACATTATAGAAAATAAAGCCAAGCGATCAGTCAAAATGCACAATCTGTGTACGTGGTTACATTATTGACTTATCCTAGCACTCAGTCAAAACACGTTACCTGAGAACAAGTAGTAGATTCAAAAGACCAAAGTCGGGGAATATGTCATTACATATAGACAACAAGATGAATTAATATCACGTTTAGCAAATATAGTAAGATTAGATCCAGCGGTCTACGAGTCTGACGTGCACAGCTCTCATCTGGTCAGACATCCACATACGCTGCATCGCATGCCAGAGTGTGTGTGGTCACGTGATTTTAGCAGTATAGTGTGGACAGAGAGCTGTTTAGAAACTCTGGGTGAAACGTCAGTGTGGAGGCGGATCATTTTCATTCTAAAACGCCGTTTTAAAACATATTAGTGTAAACGGGGGTCAAAGTGTGTATGGGTGTTTTCTAGGGATGTAACGGTATCAGAATTTCACGGTACGGTAATACCTCGGTATGGATGTCACGGTACGGTATTTATTGAATCATTTACAGGAAAAAACAAAACTTAGGAAAATACTCCAAAAAAGTGCCAAAAGTGTCAATGACATACAAATTAGCCATCTATCTGTAAGCTTTGAAACAGGAACTTCAATTTTAATAACAAAAAATTATTAAACCATGTAAAAAAATAAAGTTTCAATTTAGTATTGTTGAAAACTCATCACAATCAACATTTAATCACTCACTCACTTAGATAGAGATGGGTTTAAAGGAAAATTATCATATAACTATAATCTGGTAAAAGCTGGTATCTCTGGGCATTTACAATGTCCCCTGCAACAGAAAAAAAACCCTCTCATTTGGGACTGAGGTTTCTGGGACAAGAGAGATATGACTTGGCCCAGGTTGACAGCAGTGGGTAACGTTGTGCATCGTCTTTCCCCCACTTGAGAGGACAAACCATGAGTAAGATAGAGGTCTCATGTCTGCATCAATCTGAACAGTGTGCTGACAACACAGCTGATAAGAACTCGCGCGACAACACAGCTGATAAGAACTCGCGCGACAACACCGCTATTCAGTACGCGCGCGACAACACAGCTGATAAGAACTTGCGCGACAACACCGCTATTCAGTACGCGCGCGACAACACAGCTGATAAAAACTCGTGCGACAACACAGCTGATAAGAACTCACGCGACAACACCGCTATTCAGTACGCGCGCGACAACACAGCTGATAAGAACTCGCGCGACAACACCACTATTCAGAACGCAAGCGGTGACAACACCCGCTTTAGGGTTTTCCAGCTCTTTTTGATCCCCGCTTCTAGCAGCACACTCCATTTCCGCATTACTGGATCTGTAGCGACAACAGACCGCAAGGGATGATGATCAAGCATGGGCTGATGGGAATTGTAGTTTTCGCTACCTCCCGTTTGCTTCATTCGCCTGGGCAAATTTTCTCCGAAGACCTATAGTTTTACCGAGTCATGCGACTACGGTAATATCGAAAAAAATTGATATTGCGGTATGACGGTATTTACAATACCGTTACATCCCTAGTGTTTTCCATTACTGGGTTGCAGCTGGAAGGGCATCCACTGTGTAAAACATATGCTGGATTAATTGGCTCTGTGGCGCCCCCTGATTAATAAAGGGACTAAACTGAAGGAAAACGAATGAATGAATTGCAGTGTGTACTTTGATTTTATTTTGTCAGTATCTTTTATTTTAATGGATGGAAGAGTAGTAAGACCCTTAAGATGTTTTATGAATATTTCCAATTTTAGGTTGTAATTTTGTATTCATTAAAAATGGACAAGCCCCGCCTCATCGGAAGATCAATACTGGTTAGCCTGCTTAATATGCAAAACTGTTAGCCAATCACAGCTGTGGCTGTTTATGGTAGAAGTCCACAATAATCCATGCTCATTCAAACAGAGCGTTCTGAGAAGAGTCATAAACAGCACAGGAAAACGATCAATTCCTTCTAAATTGTTATTAAAGAAAAATCAGTCATAGAAGAAATCACTTATTAGAAATTAGAAAAACTTTGAATGCTTCCAAAAGATTCCCTCAGATACATATAATATTCACAAGGCCTTCCTGCTATGAAATCCCCTCACAGTTTGGTGTGAAGAATATATTAACACCCGCACACACACACACATCCTTCCTCTGGGTTCAGCATCTTATACCAGAGGCCAAACCATCTGCCAGCCTGATCGCTGGCCTCTGAGACTCGGTTCACTGTTTCCTTCATTTCCTTTCACCACTCACTACCCAGAGGCCAAAGCGTTCCACTATTACACTTACTGAATGACAGGCTTAACGGCTGTGTCCTTGTCTTAGCACTGGCCATCTGAGAATAACCTGCCTGTCTCTTACAGATGCCCGCTAAATCAGCTGTACTTTATTTCAGCGTTCACCTGTCAGGACGCACCTAGAAGGCCAAAAGGCATTACTGTATGTGTTTTGTGTCTTTGTTGCAGGAGCAGCCATGGATTCGGAGGACGAACCCTTGTTGATGCAAGGTACATGGAATTTGAGTGAGTTTGAAGAGGAGGATGAAGGAGAGGCAGAGCAAACAAATGGAGACGAGCAGGTCTGTAAAGGGTTGTGGTGGACTTTGGGATGGGTCTACACGCAGCCCTGGGCGAGTGGGATAGTTCTGGCTGTGGGATTTCTGGTGCCCTTTGCTCTCTCGGCTTACATGTTCCTTCGCTGTGAGCCACTAGACATTGACCTTTCCTACAGTGCATTCGAGGTCAGGAGTCATGCCTCGGCGGAGCGTTTCGATGCTCTCACTATTGCCCTCAAAAGCCAGTTGGGATCTTGGGACAGGCACAGGCGGGACGCCGAGGGATTTGACCTGGAAGCCAATGCTCTGAGGGACCTTTTGTTGCTCATGGTAAACAGGAAAGGAAAGGACGTCTCTGGCATAGCGAATGTCACGGAACCTACAGGGATTTTGGGAAAAGCTGAGGCGGGAGCATACAATGACAACAGGCAGTTTGGAAATGAGAAAAACAAGGAGATGAAAGAGAGGGAAAAAGACTCGAGCATATCCGCAACCCTCAATTCCAGTGATGCCGAAGATCACAAGAAACCAGACTCGCCCTTAATGAGAACCCGTAGGTTTGCGGGCTACCCCTATCTCCAGACCCAAGCCCTTTGGAGGATCGAGCTAGTGTTTGTGGCCCAGGGTGACAAGGATAACAACATCTTCACCCCCGACCGTCTTCACACCATACACCATGTGGAGAGAGTACTAATGCAGCACCCTCAGTTTCAGCAGTTCTGCTGGAAGCCATTGGAGGCGTTGCAGGATTTGCCTCTGGGACCCTCCTTCTGCTCCCCTCCGAGCTCCGTCCTGTCCTACCTCTTTCCCAGTGAGCGAGCAGGGAAGATCTACTATGATGGAATGGGGCCTGATCTTGCTGATATACATGGTGAGTTGCGAGGTGGGGGCTGTTTATCCCACTGTCTTTGTTGTCAATAAGCTGAGCTAAACTCTCTTTACCCTTGTGTGCTGTTGAGAATGTTTTCATCCACTCTGGGGTAGGGCTGGGCGATTTATATGATTTTTTCGATTAATTCGAATTTACGTTTTGACGACGATTTAATTTTATGTTATATGTTATGTTATGTTAAATTGTGACTTTTAAAAAAATATATATATATTTAATACATAATAATGGATTAAATATCGGCGATGTACCACGCAGCACCACGCAGCACCAAGGATTTTAGAATTCTAAACAGGTTCTATACACACACCGGCGCCGCCCAGCCACGATTCAGGACGCAATTCATATTTCAGCCGCGCCACAGATCGCCATCTGATTAGTTTCATGTTAAATATCATGCGAACGTGCGCGTTTGGTGTGTGATAGTTTAAACTGTCATGTGCGCGCCGTGTTATAGAAGCTATTCAAGGTTTCCCTAAGTTCAATTCAATTCAGCTTTATTTGTATAGCGCTTTTACAATGTAGATTGTGTCCAAGCAGCTTCACATAAATGGTCATAGTAACTGGAACAGTGTAGTTCAGTTTTTTAGTGTTTAAGTTCAGTTCAGTTTAGCTCAGTTCAGTGTGATTTAAAATCATTACTGAGAGTTCAAACACTGAAGAGCAAATTCATCGATGCGTAGCTCTACCAATCCTGAACCATGCAAGGCAGTGGCGACAGCGGAGAGGGAAAAAAAACTTCACCTGATAGGAGAGTGAAGAAAAAAAACCTTGAGAGAACCAGACTCAGTTGGGCACGACCATTTTAATTTCTCCGCTGGCCAAAAGTCTTGTGCAGAGCTTCAGTCACCGCGGTGGAGGCTGGAAGCTGGCCTCAGCGAAGACTCGTCTGTCCCTGGAGCGTCACTGGAATCAGACTCATGTTCTCCACTCCCCATGACCATCAGCGCAGCAGCAGCTCAGGATATGGCCTGGTCCCAAATATGGAAACCTTCGGATCATCTCGTCGCTCGTATACATCTCGTCCCTAAGAATACATAAAACTTTCATACTGGTGTATCGAAACTCTCAAGTATCAAGTTCAGTGATTCCCTGATGTAGATCTTGCTGGTTTATATCAGAGACTTAGGAGTCGATGTCTATTTCCGAAGTGCTGAAGTATAACCTTATATGTAGTTGTATCCATAGCTTTTTGGGCAGCACAGTCCTGCTTGACAAACATGATTGATATTCAATCCAGATCCTGGAAGATCAGCATATTGTGGAGGTTAGCTCCAACAAATAAGTAGAAGGGTAAATTATTTTTTGTTTAATTAGAGTTCAAACTAAACCTAGCATGGCTTTTCAGAAGCACGACTGGATAAAAGGCTTTTCGGTGTTCAAAGTTTCCTTCACAATTTAGTCCAACAGAAAACTGAAATCTTTTTGATGCGTTCCCTATAAATAAGCTTTATCTTCAAGGACTCAATAACATTTACTCAATAATATACCACATCCAAAATACATACTGTTGGTGTGCCTTCAGGAACAGGGTTGGGAAACACTTCTCTAGGCACAGTAGTATATAATATAGCAATAATCTCTAAAACCGCTTTCCAATATTCTTTCAAATCACAGCAGGACCACAGTATACATATCAGAGTTTCTCTAATAATGCTCAACTTGATTTGACTTATTTAGTATCCTCTTTTTTTAGGTGCCCTGAGCTTGGCGATCACCCATCCGCAGTTTTACTGGTACGTGGATGAGTCTCTCACACCAGACAAGCTTCAGTCATCTCTTCTTCGCAGCGAGATCCATTTTGGAGCTCCTCTCCCCTCCTTTTACTCTCTTCAAGACAGACCATTAGAACAGAGACGGCTCTTCAGAGACTTTGTGGTGCAGTATGCAGGCATCCTCGCACAGCAATCCACCAGGTGAGAGCTGAGATTACAGCGGATTGTGTTAAACGAAGGGGCCTCGGTACTTATTTGTCTGTTTCTATGTTTAATTCATGTTCAGTTATTCACATTTAAAGGGTACAGTGCATTCAAAAACTTAAAATTGACTATCTACTTACTGTCGAATGTTTGTTAAACCTTTATAGGTTTCTTTCTTCTGCTGAACACTAAAGAAGATATTCTATAGAAAGCTGAAAAAATGTAAACATCAACTTCCATACTAGGAAAATAAATCTGCGTAGGCTCATTCTGAAAACGTAGCCCTTTATACATTTCTGGAGATTGCGTAGCCAGATGAATGTATGGCTGCATTTCGTCTTTAAAATGAACGATACGGGGCGGTATAATGCCGTTCCTCTTCATGCTTACCAGCTGACCGCTTACCTCCATATAGACGGCTTTTCCGGTGTTACCAGTTTGTCCATTGGCTCGCCACGTATGTTAGATGATTTTAGACACAGAGCGGAGTTGACCATGATGACAGGGCTCGAGTCTGAAGAACAGTTCCAGAAAGCAGGTAAAACAAAAACAAAGTTAAAAAAAATAAACAAGTAAATAACAAGGTGAGAACAAGGTAAAATCTGAAAAAGGGGTAAAAATCAGGCATCCGCGGGGGATTTTCTTTTTTTGGATTGCTTTAGAAAACACTGTCGGTTGGGTTTAGGGAAGGCGGTGGGCGGGTCAATCGGTGCTTTTGAAAACACTATTGGTTGGGGTTAGAGAAGTGGGGGCGGGTCGGTCTGTGCTTTTGAAAATACTATTGGTTGGGGTTAGAGAAGTGGGGAGCAGGTCAGTCTGTGCTTTTGAAAATACTATTGGTTGGGGTTAGAAAAGTGGGGGGCGGGTCAATCGGTGCTTTCGAAAACTATTGGTTGGGGTTAGAGAAGTGGGGTGGATGGGTAAATCGGAGTGTTTGAAAACACTATTAGTTGGGGTTAGAGAACTGGGGGGTGGGTCAATCGGTGCTTTTCAAAACACTATTAGTTGGGGTTAGAGAAGTGGGGGGCAGGTCAATTGGTGCTTTTGAAAACACTATTGGTTGGGGTTAGAGAAGTGGGGGGCAGGTCAATCGGTGCTTTTAAAAACACTATTGGTTGGGGTTAGAGAAGTGGTTGGGCGGGTCAATCGGTGCTTTTAAAAACCCTATTGGTTGGGGTTAGAGAAGTGGAGGGCAGGTCAATCAGTGCTTTTAAAAACCCTATTGGTTGGGGTTACAGAAGTGAGTGGGAGGGTCAATCGGTGCTTTCGAAAATACTATTAGTTGGGGTTAGAGAAGTGGGTGGGCGGGTCAATCGATGCTTTTGAAAAGACTATCGGTTGGGTTTAGGGAAGGGGGTTGGTGGAGGTATCAGTTGGTCGGTCAGTCAGTCAGTCAGTCGACAGTGCCCTCTGGTGGATTTACGCGAGAAGAGCAGATCTGAAAAAGCGTACACAGCGGTCTCTGGTGGATTCACGAAAGCTAAAACTGCAAAAAAAAGTACCTCCTCTGTCCAGAAATGTATGAAGGGGTATGTATCAATAATGAGCCTGGGTTGAAAACATAAGCCCTCCCTGCCATAGAAAACATCTTCCAAACGCAATCCCTTAAGTAAAATGTACTGTTTACTTCATTTTAGTGCTCAACTCTTTACTCAACGATGGCATTTTATTCTAAAAGTGATACACTGTGTTGCATAAAAATGTAAGTGTGCATGAGGACTGCCATAAGGCAGAATTAGCTTTCCCAAATTTGACGTCCATTTAACAGAGCAATGAATTTATGAGGAGGACCTCAGTGGCACAATGGTGATGAATCATTGCTCAGTCCTGCTGCTCTTCTGTGTGGCCGCCGTAGATACAGTACTGTTCACTTTACTAATGCAGAACTAACGAGTTATATATAAAATGATCAAACACCAAATGGGAGTCTATTAAGCCGGTAAGTGTTCTTTAGTGGCAGAGACAAAAGAGAGTTTGTCAGATTTTGCAATTCGTCCTTTTTGCAAATCAGACTCCAGCAGGATGATTACCAAACAAAAAACATGTATGAATCAATGGGCCAAAGCTTTGTTAAACTACAAAACACCCTTAATGTACTTTCTGCTGTCAATGCAAGCGGATGCTCTTCAAATCATTAAATCCTGGACTGTAGGAGGTCTAGAAATGAGCCAGTGTCCAGATGCAGAATAGACATTCACATACTCTAATGACTCCTTTAAGAGCTCCCGATGTAATTAGGATAATCTTTTTCCATCTGCTAATGTAATCCCTCCCATCTAACCATGTTCATCGTGACTATTTCTCTTTATTCCCTTTCATTCTGTCTCTCAGTAAAGTGAAGGTGTTGTATGGTGGAACAGAGTTATTCGACGATGAGGTGCGCAAGACCTTCAACAGTGACATGTTGCTGGCGTTGTTCAGTGGTGGATGCATCACTGTCCTTGTGTATGTTCTGACTTCTTTTTCTGGTAAGACATTTAACTAGCATTCGAATCAATTAAACCCTGAGACACCATGATTTACAGTGGTTTTAGCTTAGTTTGTGTTGTTGTTGTTGTAAATAGCGGTTCATTACATTGAAAAATCAAAAACTAAGTTTAAAGGGTTACAAAAAACACCAAAACACATTTTTTTTAGATGTTTACAGTCATATATATGTCCCACATTACTAAAAACACTATTAGGACACATATATTTCACTAATAGTTTGGTTTGAAAAGATTTTTTGCAGCCATATTGTTCCAGACCGCACACCAGCTGATTGGTGGAGAAGAGACGTGATGAAGCCAAATATGATATGGGGGTGATTAGGCGACCATGTTGGCAAATTTGATCAGGGTTAGACATCCTGGAATTTTTAACAACAACAGAGAGTCAGGACCTCATCTTATCCGAATGACGGTGCTCACTGAGCAATATAGTGTCCCCTTCTCTATACTGGGGCATTAGGACCCACACAGACCGCAGGTTGAGCGCCCTCTGCTGATCTCACTAACACCACTTGTAGCAGCAACCTAGCTTTTCCATGTGGTCTCCCATCCAGGTGCTGACCAGGCACAGCCCTGCTTAGTTTCAGTGGGTGTCTATGTGAGAATTGCAGAAAGCTATCTGCTGGCTTTTGTCAAAAGCCCCTATCCGACATGTAATTAAAAGTTATTACACTGTGGATGGCTTGGGGATGAGTCAATTAAAAAATGAGTTAATTAAAAGTAATTTTCATTTTTGGGTGAACTATGTTGTTGGGGTGTACTTAAGTTGCAATATAAATAATAAACAATTCTACATTTAAATTTAATTTTAATTAATATATTGTTTTCATTACAACAAGCTAATCACTGACACCCAGTGGTTGAACTAGGTATTGCACACCTGGTTCAAAACATACGCAAGCGCAGGTTGCCAGATCGATGACACCAACTGCAGTGTGCCTGACTGTCAAGCCTAAAAACAGATTTGCGTGTTCTACATAAAAGCAACGGCACACGATAGAAGGAATATTTTCCATATTAAAAAAAGTTATTTTTCCTAACCAACACCTAAAATTTCTATATTAGAAATGGCTTCTATTTCTTGCAGCTGAAAAACAGAAAACTGACAATAATCAGCTCAGGTACAGCTCATGTGCTTTATTCAATGTAAAATGCTAACAATGTGAGTTTGAATGTCATTTTACTTGACTTTTATTGCCATACTACTGAAAGCAGCAGCAGATAGTTCACCTCAGATCTGGAAAATAAAATAGACTGTTTGAAATTGAACTTTAGAACTGTGACTCAGTGAAAACTTACACCTATTAGTGATTCAGCATCTACATTTAATCATGTTATAGAGAATTAATATGTGTTAATTAGATCAGGGGTTCTCAACCTTTTTCACTTCGGGGCTCACTTCTTTCTCTGATCAATTTTTAAAGGCCCACCTGTTTGACATTTTTTCTAAAATGTTTGTATAAATGCTCATTCAAACCATATATATATTTATATATAAACCTCAAATATATTCTGTGCTTCTGAATGACTGTATTTACATTTCTGTTGTGTTTCTGTTGTTTGCCTGGTGCAAACAGCCCAATTGCTTATCACTGCAAATTTGTTAGGACACGAGGTTACAATGCAACCTGCTCACCTAATGTTTATGTTCATAATATGTATATTATTTGCTAAGTAATAACCACCTCATGTGGAACTCTGAATCTGAATCTCATTTCAGAGTCTGCTACTGCCCACCAGAGGTCGCATTTCAGTCACAGACGCACACTTCGAGAGCCTTCTTGACTGAATAGATGCAATACAATGTATTCAAAGGCAACACGGAGTGCTGAAATTTAATTGCCTAAACTAGCATTGGACAGGTTAAAAAACCCAAAACAAAGACATAACTCACATTTTCAAAGCAGAATATCTGACTTTAGCATTGTTTTTCCAGATAAACAAGAATGGAATTAGCATGTTTCTTAAATATTGCAAACATCTTATGGTATTTTTATGCTTTAGAAGAGTCAAAAACTTACATACAGCCCCTTTAACCTTGCTCTGAGGACTTGTTGTTGCCGGAATCGCAACTGGGTTGGATTTTTCATCTACAAAAGGCCTCGGTTAGCTTTTGTGTCAACATTTATTGTCAAAAGATAAGCCTGAAATGATTTCTGAAATGAAATCCGACTGACGCCTTGAACCTGCGCAGCCTACGCACACGCACACACAGCAGCAGCACGAGTTTACAACTGTGTACCGTACGACTTAATTAGCACAGCAGTAAACACTCATTCCAGCCTATTAAAAGCACACGATGATGCCGATTGGGAAGATGTACCGACTGCGACTTCGGCTGCTGCGCAATTCATCTAATGAATCTTATTGATTTGGACCTGTTCAGCTGCTTTTCTTAGTATATTCAGGTCGTTATCCTATTTCTGTTGCTAAAATGAGGCTTATTTTCTCCGAGCTGCTGCAACAACAACCTTCTGGATAATGGGAAATGGAACAACATTTGACATTTTCATCAAAACCCCTCTCTTTTACATTACATAACATGACCTCAGCGCCTTATCTCTGTGTAATATAACCTTCCCAAAACCTGAATCCATTTACATGTCAGCTATACTTGTTAAAGAGCTCTCCAACGCCGTTGTTCCTCTCCGCAATTTGTTAGGAAGCCTTTAGCGCTCTCTGTTCGACACGGCACTTGGAGTTAATTCAGGGATAAAAGCTTGAAAACATCTCCTGGTTGCGGTGAAGGATGTGGGCCAAAAATATCCTGGCAGTTTTGTGATGTGCTAATGCTAATCTGAAGAGCTGAGTAATGCTGAAGGATATCCCATTAGCTGTCTTGCAATTAAATGAAGCCATTTAAGTAGCATTGATGCATTTTTAAAGTGAGACTGGAGGTAGACATAGCTTAGATCATATGTTAAGAAGCTATTGTTTGTTGTTGTGCTTGCTCGGTGCCATTTACACCCGTGCATTTTCATCTTAAATTGAGGATTTAGAATGGAAATGCTTAATGTATGGACGGCGTTTTTACTGGGTTTTAGAAAAATGATCTGCATTCACACTATCAGGAACACTAGACGCATTATACTCTCGCCGGCCACTTTATTAGGGACACCTTGCCCCACTGCTTGTTGACACAAATTTCTAATCAGCAACCCAATGCATTTTAGCATGTAGACATGGTCAAGACAGTTTAAATCAGAATGGGAAAGAAAGGTGATTTAAGTGACTTTGAACGTGGCATGGTGTTTGGTGCCGGCGAGTATTTCAGAAACTGCTGATCTACTGGGATTTTCACGCACAGCCTTCTCTAGGGTTTTCAGAGAATGGTCTGAATAAGAGGAAATATCCAGTGAGCGGAAGATCTGTGGGCCAAAAATGCCTTGTCGATGCCAGAGGTCAGAGGAGAATGTCCAGACTGGTTCCAGCTGATAGAAAGCCGACAAATCTGCAGCAACTGCGTGATGCTATCATGTCAATATGGAGCAAAATCTCTGAGGAATATTTCCAGTTGTTGAATCTACGCCACACAGGATTGAAGCAGTTCTGAAGGCAAAAGGGGGTCCAACCCGGGACCAGTAAGGTGTACCTAATAAAGTGGCCAGTGAGTGTGTGTCACCATTCATGTAAATGCAACTGAGTTATGAGAAATGAGTTTTTAAAACTAATATGTATAGAAATATGTTGAAAAAACCTTTCTTTCCGTTTAACAGAAATTGTGAAAAAATTATACAGGGGGCATTTAAAAAAATCAGTTTACCCATTTAACTAAAGTCAACTAATCACTTGTTAGTATAGATTACTGTAGTCTCCGTTGTACTTTCTGGATTTGGTAATATGCTTCACAACCATTTCTTTCCTCCGCAGTGTTTCTGACGTTCTTCGGCTTGGCCAGCATTGGTCTTAGTTGCCTCGTGGCTCTCTTCTTGTATCACGTGGTGTTTGGAGTGAAATATCTCGGCATTCTCAACGGAGTGGCAGCTTTCGTCATCATCGGCATCGGTGAGAATAATGAAGCCTTTTCACATTTCCAGGTTTCTCAGTAGCAGAAGTCATCATATCTGGGTAAACTAAAGTGCCAGTGAATGGGAGAGTTCAATTTTTACAATCCCATTTGCTAAAATAATGAAAGAAACACTGGCATGATGTTATCAGGACTTTCAAAGAAAGGGAAAAAATTGTGTAAGACGGCAGGCAGAAGAGAGAATAGTGACAGATTTACTGTCCCACCACCATAGACGCTGCATTAAGCCTGATTTATACTTCTGCGTCAAGTAACCGGCTTAACCCACGGCGCATGCAACGCGCGTGGCTGTGCATTTATACTTCTGCGCGCTGTCTCTGTTGGTCTGCATTAACACTTCCGAAACGCTAGTTGGTAGTGAGGTGTAAATGTTCCTCTGTGTCGAGTTTCTTCGCTACTTTTTTGCATTTCCTGAACACTTCCTGGATGTACAAGTGGCTCAAACTCGCTCATTTTGAGGCAGGAACCGGCGGACGTGCAACAACTTTAACTATGAGGTAAACACAAAACAAAACTTTCCATCCGGAGCTCCTTCACGGGACTTCACACTTGTAAACAATCGCTTGCGCCATTCGCTCAGACTCGTCAGCGCTACCAAGCCGACCAATCACAGAGCTTACGCTACGCGTCATTGCGACGTTTAGTTACATTTTTTGAGAGATGCACGTCAGTGACGGCGACGGCCATGGCGAAGGGCTATGCGTCAGCGCCGTAGCATACGCCGGCGTTTGACGCAGAAGTATAAATCAGCCTTCAGAAACACCTCGCACATTTAGTGGTTGTTTTTTTTTTTTGTCATTTGATGCAAAAATGATATAATACATGCATAAATAGATATAAATGTTCATATGTTTAAAAAAATCTAAGTGTATAAAACTATCAAGCATTTAAGATGTCATGTAAAAGAGGGTCCATAAAATACCAAATCTATAAATTAACATGTTCTCTGAGCCCTCTGTCTGAAACTTAAAGGAGTGGTGGTCCACTATGATATCATATTTGAAACTTTAGTTGATGTGTAATGTAGCTTTGTGAACATTAACAACATGTCTGAATGTAAGACGCTCAAAGCTCAATGCAAAGGGAGACATTGGCTTTAAGCTTAGCAAAGCCTACAGCGAACGAAGTTTGGGGACTACAAAAAATACATCCAGGCTAGTGAGATCACAAGGCCTTACGGTTACCCGCATTCCCCACACGCACACCTGTGCAGCGAAGGGGCGTGGCCAGAGGTGCTGTAATGTTAAAGCAGAGAAAGCTAAAATGCCTCCAAACGCTGCTATTTCCACAGAGCTTCTTCTGTTTCTGTATTTGGGCTTCCAAATGACAAGACACAAAGAGAGAAGTGCGCACAATTTAATTATATTCCAGAGAATTACAAAAAAATAAGATTTAGCGCTAGCATTTGACAAAGGAGAACTTTCAAAATCTCTCCCAGTTCAGTGCTGGATTCAGCTAAAAACTCCTCCAACAGATGAAGCTGTGGATTGTGAGCCTTACATAAGTGTATTTATTTGTTAAAATTGATCAACTACAGGCACAGTTTCTAGCGTTATTGGTATGTTGTAGCAAGGACGTAAACAAGGACGTAAACAACAGGAAATGCTGTTTGGCACCGCTAACAATTTAGCTATAAATTCATATTTATCAGCCAAACCGCTGTAAACACCCACAATCTTCACCAGTGCTGCAGTGTCTCTGCTTTCCCTGCGTTCTACATCTCAAACTCGTAAAAAATATGTGAACGTTTCACATTACTTACACATGCTTATTTCCAATATATATAAAAGACACTTGTCAGGTTTTATTTTAGTTAGCAGGCGTGAGGTTCCGATGTGTGCTCTTTTTTTTTCTGTCTGATTCAGGCAGCTAACGCTGTTGACAGCTGCTCCTACTGGACTGTTTACACAGCACTAAAGCGCGTGCTTGTAGGGGTGTGACGTAGCCAATCCGTGAATCACAGCACGTTATGTTAGTTGACCAATCACAGCCTCTTGAGGGCGGACCTTTTAGGGGAACTAGAAAATATGACAGTCATTTTCATGTTAGCCGAGTAGCTGTATATAATCAAAGCAAGATTTGTGAAAAAATAACATGATTTTCTACAAGTGAAGCATGAACACCAAGCCTTATAAATACACTGTGGACCACCCCTTTAACATTTTCTCCTCTTTCCTCTTTTCTCTTAGGTGTGGATGATGTGTTTGTGTTCATAAGTACATTCAGACAGTCGGTTCATCTGACCTGCCCGATGCAGCGCATGATTTCCACCATGAAGACGGCCGGCAGAGCCACTTTCCTCACGTCCTTCACCACCGCCGCCGCGTACGCTGCAAACACCTTCTCACAGGTGCAGAAACACACTCAGTCAGCTCAGGTCAACGCAAGCATGAGCTAACATGTTGACCACAGTGACTTTATCAAAGGAACTCTACTTTCTTTCATTTATTCATTCTTTTTTTTTTTTTTTTTTTTTTGCTTAGTCTCTTTATTAATCTGGGGTCACCACAGCAGAATGAACTGCCAATAATAATAATGATAATAATAATAATAATAATAATCGATGATGGCAACGCAGTGGCACAGTAGGTAGTGCTGTCGCCTCACAGCAAGAAGGTCGCTGGTTTGAGCCTCGGCTCAGTTGGCGTTTCTGTGTGGAGTTTGCATGTTCTCCTTGCGTTTGCTTGGGTTTCCTCCGGGTGCTCCGGTTTTCCCCACAGTCCAAAGACATGCGGTACAGGTGAATTTGGTAGGCTAAATTGTCCGTAGTGTATGAGTGTGTGTGTGTGTGTGTGTGTGTGTGTGTGTGTGTGTGTGTGTGTGTGTGTGTGTGTGGATGTTTCTCAGAGATGGGTTGCGGCTGGAAGGGCATCTGTTGCGTTAAAACGTGCTGGATAAGTTGGCGGTTCATTCCGCTGTGCCGACCCAGAATTAATAAAGGAAAACAAGAAACAAGAAAATGAATGAAATTAATGATTGATGATGATGATGTTAATAATAATAATGCTTTCAACCACATCCAGTGACTATACAGTGAATTATTTCGTGATTCATTCTTTTTGCTGCCATCAAAGTGCTGTGAGCTGTAAATGCTGTGACAAGGTGAAAAGCAAAAGTCTGGAGGATCCATCTGTGACCTCCCGCTAAGAACTCAGGATGTAACATCAATCAAAAAATAAACACGATGAGCCAAATGATGAAATAAGCTGCAAGGGCATGTAAAGTAGACAGTCAAACATTTCTTTATCTGTAAAGAGAGGTCTTCTTTTATACAGAGTCGCTTTTGCACCCATGGGGCTTTTATGTTTCTGTCACGCGCTCATGTTTATTCAGTAGTGTACCGGGTGTGATGAGAATCCCGCCGGTTAATTTATATTAAAACATGCAAAGACGTTGAAAAATGGTGACAACACCTGACGCGTGACCTTTTCTCTGGTTTGCATGCGTCATTAGATCCCGGCGGTTCATGACTTCGGTCTGTTCATGTCTCTGATCGTGAGCTGCTGCTGGCTCTGGGTGTCCGTCCTCATGCCTGCTGCCCTCTGCATCTGGAGCTCGTGTGGAGCTGCCCGCGCCAACTCCTGCCCCAGATGGTACAGCTTTTTATTTCAGCATCCTTTGAGAAGCATTGTTTCTATTGAATCTGATATCTTAGGGCATACTCACACTATGCTATCCCAACCGTGCCCAGGCCCGTTTCCCGGATCGTTTGAGAAGTGTGAGTGCTCTGAATTGGGCCAAGGCGCTGTTCACTTGGCCGATCCTGACATTGTTGGAAGAGCGCGGTTCACTTGGGCTCAAACACAAAGTTATTATAGTTAACGAAAACAAACGAAAAAACTAAACTAAAATGTAAAATAATTGTCGTTAACTGAAATAAAAATAAAAACGAGAGTTTTTTTTAAAAACTTTAACTAAAACTATTGTCTACGTAAAAAAACTAACTGAAACTTACTAAAATTATAGCAAAAACCACCTTCATTTTTGTATTTGTGAATGTATTTAATACATAATCCTTCTGTAAGCCTTTTAGAAGTAAATATAATTCGTGCTGCAGGTGTTTGACCCATACAGCACCTGTAGTCCTGCTGCCATTGGCCACATCGAGCCAATTCTCCTCCAGCCATCCTCGCTGACAAAAACAACGAGTGGACATGACAGCAGCACGGTAACAGCATTAAAAACAGACACTTTAAACTTTTCCTTTAACACGTTTGTGCCCAATAATGGGTTTTATTTCTGTAACGCGATCGCGAACGAATCTTTATAACCGAATCTTCCAAGTGAACTCGTTGAACTAGTTCACCGAATCGAACTGAATCATTTGAAACGATTCGCGTCTCCAGTAAGCACTTATCCACCAACTGCTGATACCCCCTCTGATTCGAAATAATCCAATATATACTCTCAATTCAGTTATTAGAACAGTAACGTTACATTGAAATCAAATTTGAGAAACGGTGATCCGATAATACTGTGCATGCATGATTCAATGAACCGAACACAAACAGTGCATGACAGCCTTCTGAGACTGAAATAAACTTGAACAACAGCAGCGGGGGTAACCCAGGGCTTAAATGAGAGGATCTGGTGAAAAACGGAAGTTTATTACATAACAGAAAATCATAATGGAGTTTAAATAAGTAAATTATGCTTCAGTTGGGTTGCAAAACTTTACTGTAAGACATTTTTTAGATCATGGTGATGTTTTAACTGACTGAAATGACTATTGCTGACTACATAACGTTGAGTCCCAACATCTGCGTTAAAGATTAGTACTTCCCATCACTACTGTGTATCTAACCTCAGAGCAGCCTTGCACACATATTGTACATAAGGCTGTTATCTTGTGGGCTGTTGTATTTGAATTTGAGGATGGTAGTGGTAGATGAAAGTGTTCCTGTGTCCTCTGAACACAGGTTTCAAAAAAATGTGTGGTTGATTTTTTATTCTACAATATTTATTCTGTTGATTTTGAATCTTGCATCTAACAAATATCTTCATTTAGAAGAAAAAAAATATATATAAAACTAATACTGAAAGTAATAAAAATTAAACTAAAACGAAATAATTAAAAAATATAGAAACTAATAAAAACTAGTAAATTTCTCTCTAAAAACTAAATTAAACTAAGTGAATTTGAAAACAAAAAGTCAAAACGAAAAAGAAACTTAAACTAATGAAAAATCCAAAACTATCATAACCTTGCTCAGTAAAAAGAGCTTTGCACTCACACTACAAGCGTACCGTGCCTGAGCCCTAAACTGAAGACGAGACGTGACTTTTAAGGGGAAAGTTTGATTGGATTTATTAATCATTCTTACTGTCTAATGAACGCAAACTGTCGTAGTTTATTAAAGATGCAAACCCCTCACTGCACGACAGCTGCACCTTCAGCAAACCTCCTAATTCCTGCAGCACGAGGACTTAATGATTGTTTACGAGCGTCAAAAGTGGCGGATCTGTTCGGCGAAATAATTGACTGCCTGTCATCGCATCTAAAACGATATAACTAAAGAAATCCCTACTGTGCTGAGCGAGTGCTTCTTAAACTAAACAGCGCATCATCGATGACGTAAGCGTGCTCAGGCCCAAATGCGATGGCTGAGTGCGGGCCGTCGAGGGAAGGGAGGGGGGACAAGTGTGCCTCGGCTCAGTTTAAGGCAACTGTACATAGTGTGAGTACGCCCTTATACTGTTTGTTAGGGCTGCGCAATATCATCGATATCATAGCGTGTGTAAGCAACATACCTACTGTGTCGATACTAGAAAACACTTTAACTTATTGAATCAAGGCGCTATATGGCTCTACAATTTCTAATGTCATTCGTACTTCTACTTAAGATGCAGTTGTGCAATGGAGGAAAGTCTATAGTGGAGCTAGAGCAGCTATATTCCTGCTTTTACGACATGCTCGCATCAGTAGACATTGTTTGTTTACATTTTTTTATTTGCAGTAGTCAGTTTCTAGTTTAGCCTTCTTGATGACATCATGCATGCCAATAAAGCAGGGTGTCTGTAAGGTCTTAAATATTGATAAGTCAATTTAAAGATGTTTAAGGCCCTGAAAAAGTATTTAAAAGTCGTAAATGCCATTTTAAAAGGTATTAAATTTTGCTAAAGTTTGCCTGGATTTAATATGCGAAAATCGGGATGCTGTGTAGTTTATGCAACACATGCTTATTCTGAAAACGCAGCCCTATATATATTTCTGGGGATTGCGAATTATGTAGCATAAGTACATATGGCTGTATTTTATCTTTAAAACCAATGCTACGAGGAGGTATGATGCCGATCCTTTTCGCATTTACCAGCTGATTGCTTACCTCCGTATGGACGGCTTTCCCGCTGTTACCAGTTTGCCCAGTAGCTCGCCATGTACGTCAGCGGACTTGAAACGCAGAGAGGAGTTGACCATGACGACGGGGTTTGAGTTTGGTGAAGAACGGTTCCAAAAAGCGGATAAGACAAAAACAGAAGCCAAAAAATGAAATAACCGAGTAATTACCAGGGTGAGAATGTGGTAAAATCTGAAACATGGTAAAAATCAGACGAGGGCTTTTGCTTTTCTTGATTGCTTCTGAAAACTTTCGGTTGGGTTTAGGTAAGTGGGTGGGCGCTGGTCAATTGCTGATTTTAAAAACACTACTGGTTGGGTTTAGGGAAGGAGGAGGGTGGGTCAGTCAGTCGATTCAGTCAGTCGACAGCGACCTCTGGTGGATTTACTCGAAAACAGCAGGCACAAATGGCACTGGCGAAAAATTTGAGATTTGAAAAAGCGTACACAGCGGCCTCTGGTGGATTTGCGAAAACAAAAACTGCAAAAAATGTAGCTCCTGGGAAGTATTTGATGCTCTCCAGAATTGTATACAGGGGTACGTTTTCAGAATGAGCCTGGGCTGAGTTTTTAAAACTGATAAAATCCTACTAGGTTTGACATCACTCTGGTTTGTTTAATGCACTGTTATTCCTGCTTCTTTAGGCACCACTTGCTGGATTAGCATTTTGATCTGTATATGAATAATGTTTTAGTTTAGGATTCAGTAGATTAGATTAATTTCTTTCAATCACCATTAATTAGTAAATATGCTGTAAGTTAAAATGTCGCCAATGTTACTGGTTGAAACCATAAAGTGGCGATGAGGTCTTAAAATGTATGGAAAGAGTCTTTTAAAAAGGTAGGGGAGAGTGGAGATGGTTGCAACAAGACTTATTCCTCTATTTAGGCATGAGCTAGAGTGATGATATTTTTACTACATATTCTCAGTTAGACCCTCCTTCAGTACGGAAGACATGATGTGACCATTCCTTTTGTATAAAACTTATTTTGAGGTAAAAAAAAAAATGTATTTACTAATGGTCAGAACATTTCTCATACTGTCTAATTTGTTTTTGTAAGACATTACTTGATTAATTAATTAATTTTAAAGTTGGATGTTGCTTCTTTTAATAGTCTGTATTTATATGGCCAATTTAACTAATGTAACATTTTAACCATGTAACATTTAGTGTGTTAACCAAAAAAATATTCAATTTAATGTTTTAGAATTTTTTTATTATTATTTCATTTCAATGAATGTTGCAGCCGTCCCCATGCTCGGGGTCAGTTGCAATATTCGACTTTGTGTGTTGAAGTTTAAATTCTGCATATGTTATTATTTGTACACGTCATAGCAATATGGGTGGGTATCTAATAGATGTGGGTTTATTAGGTTCAAATTTTGAGTTTCCACAAAGAACTCTGAGAAACTGAAGGAAATGCAAAAAGTGTTGCAACTGTCCCCACTCTCCCCATTGAATTTCACTCTCTGAACTCTGTATATACCCTGTAAAGGCAAACGATGACAGATATTGAAAGAATTACCTGTTTATAGAACCCAAAATGTACAGTTGAATTATTAGCCACCCTGTTTATTTTTTTCACCAATTTCTATTTAACGTAGAGATTTTTTCAACACATTTCTAATCATAATAGTTTTAATAACTTATCTGTAATTACTGATTTATTTTATCTTTGCCATGATGACAGCAAATAATATTAGACTAGATATATCAAGACACTTCTATACAGCTTAAAGTGACATTTAAAGGCTTAACTAGGTTAATTAGGTTAACTAGGCAGGTTAGGGTATTTAGGCAAGTTATTGTATGATGAGATTGTTCAGTAGACTAGAGAAGAGGCTAATAATTTTGTCCTTAAAATGATTTAAAAAAAATAAAACAGTTTTTATTCTAACCAAAATAAAGCAAATAAGCCTTTCTCCAGAAGAAAAAAATATTATCAGACATACTGTAAAAAAAATTCCCTGCTCTGTTAAACATCATTTGAGAAATATTTAAAAAAAAAAAAAAAGAAAAAGAAAATCAAAGGGAGGCGAATCATTTTAGACTTCAACTGATGGTGTTTAAATAATCAGTGACAAAAATGTAGTTGAAACCCAGCATTACACTTACAAAAATAACGACAAAATAGCTTGGAGACACTTTAGATTCAGATTCCTGAGACTGGAATAATGACAGAACTGGTAGTTTTGGGTGGATTATCCTATTAACGCTGATATTCTTGACCCTTGCAGGTGGACCACTTTAACGAAACTGTCCAGCAGCCCAGGTCCACTCTCAGATGATGATGACGTGGCTCTGATAACTGTCGAAATGGAACCAGGTACACTGTATAAAACATTGCACAACAAATTATGCAGGAGTGTTTTTATAAGGGTGACACGGTGGCTCAGTGGTTAGCGCTGTCACCTTACAGCAAGAAGGTCGCTGATTTGAGCCAGATGGCATTTCTGTGTGGAGTTCTCCCCATGTAGGTGTGGGTTCCCTTTGGGTGCTCCGGTTTCCCCCACAGTCCAAACACATGCACTATAGTGAAATTGAATGAACAAAATTGGTCGCAGTGTACGTGTGTGTTTGAATGTGAGAGTGTATGGGTGTTTTCCAGTACTGGGTTGCGGCTGGAAGAGCATCCGCTGTTGGTGGTTCATTTCACTGTGGCGACCACTGATAAATAAGAGACTAAGCTGAAGGAAAATAGATTAATGTATTTACAAGAAAATACTGTTTCAGAACGCATGCCGGATGTCATGTTTAATTCACTATGTGCATTTCTTTGGTAATATTCGTGAAATTAACTAGCAATTTTGCAGAAAAGCAATGTACTGATGATGATTCTGACAAAGACAAAAAAGGATACAAATTTAAACCATCCTGATAAAAAATGACAAAAACAAATGTCTTATTTGCATTAATAATAATAATAATAATAATAATAATAATAATAATAATAACAATAATAATAATAATAATAATAATAATAATAATAATAATAATAATAATAATAATAATAATAATAATAACAACAATAATAATAATAATAATAATAATAATAATAATAATGGGTGCATGAATCATTTATGATGATACAGTTTTTCTCAGTGGCTTTGGTGCATTTCTCACAACACTATTTCATTTGGACAAAAGTTAATGCATTTCTCTAAACAATTAGTCATTTGTGCACATCCTAGTAGCAGTTTCTCATTCCTTCCAGCAAATTGCAGATGGTTTTGGACATGCATCAATTGCTTTCATACAACTCTCTGCTGTTTATAACATTATCAGTTGCTTACGTCATGTCAGTCAAAATGAACTAAACTTGTAAATGCTGAATAGTCATTCCATATAAAACTAATAGCCCTCATTTCATTACTCGAGTCATTACACACACAAATGTTGAACTAGTTGTCAAAATCTGTCTAGCAAATTTTATATAAAAAAAAATTAAATCTTTATTTTTCTGAAAAATGTCTACTAAATTGAACAATTTGATGAATGATTTACAGACCTGTGTGTGTTGAAGGTTCAGTTCCAATATGTACTGCAATATTGTGTACAGATGTGCACAGCTCTACCCAAACGAAGCTTATGTTTGTTGTAAATAAGTCTGTGTTTATTCTTTTGCACAGTGCTGTGAATGAATTAGAATTGCAAAGAGCAAATGCAGAGTAAAAATGTGAAACATACATATTCAGTGTCTTGTACTCAGATAGCTCACTAAATGCAGTGATGTCTAACTTTACTGTAGTTTTCAAATGGCTGTGCTAATAGTATATAGTGCTGTCTTGAGCATTTTCAGGAAGGGTCACCACAATCTGACTTTTTTTGAATAGAAAAAAATGTCCAGAGTAAACTGTCATAATGAAAACATGATGGCCATCTGACTGTCTTGTTCATAAACAGTGGTGTCAGGATTTTTCATTTTGATGACACTGACACTTTAATTGACATGAATACTTGCTTTTGAGGATTGAACTCTCCATTTTGAGCATGTGAAGCGCTTTTGCAGGTTATCATCTAGGTTTTGTAGTTTGCACTTATTGATTTGAGAAATGCATTAACTGTTGTGCAGAAATGCACTGGTGTTGTGAGAAACGCACCAAAGCCACTGAGAAAAACTGTAAGTAGGCCGTGTGTCCAGGAAAGTGTTTTAGTCAGCTGGAGATGCCGACACTTAGCTGTGGGTGTTTTTTATGTATTTATTTTTAATATATTGACTTGATTGCACAACATTCAAACAGGAAATGTTTGACAATTGGTTGGTGACGTGTTGCCCAGCTCCTCCTCTATTGTGATTGGACGACTGGCTAAACTGTGACAGTAACAAGGTTTTGATTTTTGGGTGAAGTAATTTACGGTGATGCAGTGGGTAATATGTTTGCCTCACAACAAGAAGGTTGTTGGTTCAAGCCTCGGCTGGGTCAGTTGGCGTTTCTGTTTGGAGTTTGCATGTTCTGCCCGTGTTGGCGAGGGTTTCCTTCGGGTTCTCCGGCCACAAGTCCAAAGACGTGGTACAGGGGAATTGGGTAGGCAAAATTGTCCATAATGTATGAGTGTGAATGAGTGTGTATGGGTGTTTCCCAGAGGTGGGTTGAGGCTGGAAGGGCATCCGCTGCGTAAAACTGCGTTAAAAACTGTGTTAAATTGCTTCCTTGTCCTCATTTGTAAGTCGCTTTGGATAAAAGCGTCTGCTAAATGACTAAATGTAAAATGTAAATGTAAAACAAAGGCTGGAATAGTTGGCGGTTCATTCCACTGTGGCGACCCCAGACTAATAAAAGGACTAAGCTGAAAAGAATATGAATGAATTTTCTTTAGCTTACAATTTAGCCTATAGCCCATGTGTTTGGACTGTGGGGGAAATCGGAGCACCCAGAAGAAACCCACGCCAACACGTGGAGAACATGCAAACTCCACACAGAAATGCCAACTGACCCAGCCGACTATTAAAGAATTGTATGTGCACTTCATGAAAGCAACCGCTTTTCTTTCTTATTTGCTTTTAGGTTGTGCGTTTTTTAAATCCTTTAACGCTCGGCAAACCCTTGATCACGTGTGTCATATCATAATAACCATCAGCTGAATCTGTGTGCAGGTGTGTATGACTCTGAACCGGACGCAGCCCTTCTGTCTCTCTCTACAGAAGCTCCTCTGTCCGCGTCCACTGAAGGCAATGTCGGAGTGGTCAGCGCTCATATCCAGAGGCTCCTGAGATGCTGGGTGGCGGAGCCCGTAGTGGAGAAACGCAAAACTATCATAGGTGAGCAGGGGATCTGATGTTAAGAGATGTTTCTGTGGTCTTGCAGAGTGTGATGTGGTTTCATAATGCTCACAGACGCCCACAGAGCATTCACTGTCTGTCTGATGTGTGTGTGTCACGCTCAAAACTGCCAAGAGCTGGATGACTTACAGTTGAAGTCTGATTTATTAGCCCTCCTGAAAAAAATTCCCCAATTTCTGTTTAACGGAGAGAAGATTAATTTCAACACATTTCTAAACATGATAGTTTTACTAACTCATTTCTAATAACTGATTTATTTTTTCTTTGCCATGATGACAGCATTTGACTTGATATTTTTCAAGATACTACTATTCAGCTTAAAGTAACATTTAAAGGCTTAACTAGGTTAATTAGGCAAGTCGTTGTATAACGATGGTTTGTTCTGTAGACAATCAAAAACAAATATTTCTTAAATGGGTTAATAATATTGACCTTAAAAGGAGTTTAAAAAATTTAAAACTGCTTTTTTTCTAGTCGAAATAAAACAAATAAGACTTTCTCCAGAAGAAAAAATATTATCAGACATACTGTGAAAATTTCCTTGCTCTGTTAAACATCTTTTGGGAGATATTTGAAAAAGAGAATAAAGTTCCCATAAGGGCGGATGATTTGTGACTTCAACTGTACACTGTTTGTGTTGCCTTCTCAAGGTTGTGGTGAACGGGCTTTTTAACTTCTTTCACGATCCAAAGTGTACATTTATGTATAATAAGTGTTTCAGCTAAAGAACTTATAGCATAGCTTGGAGTGTCACAATCGACCAATCACAATCGAGAATTTCTGAGAATTATAATAATAATACAGAGGCTTGTAATAAAACCGCTCTAATTGATTGTAGTATGTGTTAACTAAAACTAGAAATAAAGGTAAAAAAGAAAATAAATAAAATAAGGATTGATGGATGGATGGATGAATGGATGGATGGACATTAGATAGATAGATAGATAGATAGATAGATAGATAGATAGATAGATAGATAGATAGATAGATAGATAGATAGATAGATAGATAGATAGATAGATAGATAGATAGATAGATAGATAGATAGATAGATAGATAGATAAATAGATTGATAGATAGATGATAGATAGATAGATAGATAGATAGATAGATAGATAGATAGATAGATAGATAGATAGATAGATAGATAGATAGATAGATAGATAGATAGATAGATAGATAGATAGATAGATAGATAGATAGATAGATGATGGATGGATGGATGGATGGATGGATGGATGGATGGATGGATGGATGGATGGATGGATGGATGGATGGATGGATGAAGACAGACGAACGGACGGACGGACGGACGGATGGATGGATGGATAGATGGATGGATAGATGGCTGGATGGATGAATGGGTGGGTGAGTTTGAATGTGAATGGATGGATGGATTGATGGGTGAGTTAGTATATGGATAAGTGGGTGGGCGGGAATGTGGATGGATGGATGGACGGATGGGTGGGTGGGTCAATGGATGGATGGATGGATGGATGAAGACAGACAGACAGACAGACAGACAGACAGACAGACAGACAGACAGACAGACAGACAGACAGACAGACAGACAGACAGATAGATAGATAGATAGATAGATAGATAGATAGATAGATAGATAGATAGATAGATAGATAGATAGATAGATAGATAGATAGATAGATAGATAGATAGATAGATAGATAGATAGATAGATGGCTGGATGGATGAATGGATGAATGGATGAATGTGTGGGTGAGTTTGAATGTGAATGGATGGATGGATTGATGGGTGAGTTGGTATATGGATAAGTGGGTGGGCGGGAATGTGGATGGACGGATGGATGAAGACAGACAGACAGACAGACAGACAGACAGACAGACAGACAGACAGACAGATAGATAGATAGATAGATAGATAGATAGATAGATAGATAGATAGATAGATAGATAGATAGATAGATAGATAGATAGATAGATAGATAGATGGATGGATGGATGGATGGATGGATGGATGGATGGATGGATGGATGGATGGATGGATGGATGGATGGATGGATGGATGGATGGATGGATGCATGGATGGATGGATGGATGGATGGATGGATGGATAGATGAATGTGTGGGTGAGTTTGAATGTGAATGGATGGATTGATGGGTGAGTTGGTATATGGATAAGTGAGTGGGCGGGAATGTGGATGGATGGATGGATGGATGGATGGATGGATGGATGGATGGATGGATGGATGGATGGATGGATGGATGGATGGATGGATGGATGGATGGATGGACGGATGGGTGGGTGGGTCAATGGATGGATGGATGGATGGATGGATGAAGACTGACAGACAGACAGATATAAAAGCCAGTCAAATATGAAAATCTGTATGACATAGTGCTGTCCATATGACCATTACAGATATTCACTATGTAAGTCAGGGTAACGTGCAGTATTATAAATATTGGCATTTCAATTTATTATAAAAATGTTCCTTTTATAACTCTAAATGATTAAGAGGTGTGAAGGTCTGATAAATTAATACCAAAAAACAAAAATAAAGCCAGATTAAGGTTTTTCTGCTAATCTGCACACAGGTTGTGCTGGAGTAAGATGAATAAAAATGCCGAGCTGTTTTGTTTCAAACTGTAATTTGGTTCTTACTCTCAAGGTCAGTCTATTCACAGTTCAAACAAAAGAGCTCTGAACTGCTTCCCTTATGCGCCTGCAACAATACAATTAAGCTTGTATTAACATGGTGGAGCGTGGCAAAAAATTCAGACAAAACGCCCATTGTTTAAATGCATATTCACGCAGCTGCATGCATGCCAATAAGCTAAATTAGAGCCAGGTTTGTCCCAGGCCACCGCTGCTCTTTCTTCTTATTAGGTGAATAGCGTGAGCGGTGTTGATACAGTGCCACTGTAATTATAGATTTACTGACAGTTACAATACAGCCATGCATAATGTAGCAGGATGCATTTAAATCCAAGCGTTAGCTTTATAAAGTATCATCCTCCTCGGTTCACATGCAATCATAATGGGCGGCACGGTATATCATTACAACATCAACGTTAACATGCACATCTGTTGGGTCAGGATTATAGTTATAAAACACTTTATTTGGGAAGTTATTGCAGATTTTAAAATCTGTGCGATATCAAAATTTGTGCACATTGTTCCTCATCAAACAAGTCGCTCTTTTATCAAATGGTAACTTACATGTAACCCCTGAACTTACAGTAAGCCTTGGCTGGATATAAGAGTTTGTTCATTGTTTTTCAGGTGTGTATGCGGTGGTTCTGCTGGGCTCGGTGTGGTGCTGCTGTCTCCTGCGTCCGGCCAGTCACGCTCCTGTGCTGTTCCACAGAGACACAAACCTGCAGAGACTTCTAGACATGCGCAGTAACCTGAGCGCTCAGGGGATCTCCTGCCATATGTGCTCAGGTCAGCCTCACTCTTCTCCCGGGGCTCATTCAGAACAATCACTTGACTCATTTGCACTGCTTCATTCAATTACACACTAGAGGTTCTGCTCGTGGCATGATACAGTCGACGAAGGCTGAGAGAGATGAGTCGAAACATAAGAAGTGTCAATGACTGGGCGTTGATTATACAGTCAAAGTGATTAGCCCTCCTGCGAATTTTTTGTATTCAATTTCAAATATTTCCCAAATGATGTTTAACAGAGCAAGGAAATTTTCACAGTATGTCTGATAATATTTTTTCTTCTGGAGAAAGTCTTATTTGTTTTATTTCGGCTAGAATAAAAGCAGTTTTTAATATTTTAATAAACAATTTTGGAACAAAATAATTAGCCCCTTTAAGCTATTTTTTCCATAGTCTCCAGAACAAACCATCGTTATACAATAACTTACCTAATTACCCTAACCTGCCTAGTTAACCTAATTAACCTAGTTAAGCCTTTAAATGTCACTTTAAACTGTACAGAAGTGTCTTGAAAAATATCTAGTAAAATATTATTTACTGTCATCATGACAAAGATGAAATAAATCAGTTATTAGAAATGAGTTATTAAAACTATTATGTTTAGAAATGTGCTGAAACAATCTTCCCTCCATTAAACAGAAATTAGGGAAAAAAATAAACAGGGGCGCTAATAAGTCAGGGGGGCTAATAATTCTGACTTCAACTGTAAGTGGTTGCAAACACTTGATATAGGCTTAATTTAAACAAACAATTTAATTTGTACCTTTAAATTCAGCCCATAAATATTGGGCAACCACTTACCTTAAAGCAGGGGTCTCAAACTCGCGGCCCGCGGGCCATTTGCGGCCCTCAGTGCAATTATTTTGTGGCCCGCGCCGACCGCTGTACACTGACAGAATCAGCGGAGCGGTGAGAGAGAGCGCTCCCCGCTCCGCTGATTCTATCCGTACACAGCGCGCTTGTCACTCAATGCGCGTTCTGATCAGCTGTGTTGTCGTGCGCGTACTCAAGAGCGGTGTTATCGCGCGCCTACTGAAGGGCAGGACCGAGGGTGTGTCGCGTTGCGGGGGCACTTTTGATTATTTTGGAAGGGCACTTTCTATGCAAGACTAAAAAGGGCATGTGCTCTGCACAGGTTGACCCCTATGTGTGCACGTGCCTGCCCTGCATCTTATATATATTGATATTATAGGTAGATACAGACTGGTACCGACTGATGTGACTGGAGTGGGGTGGGGGTGTTTTATTTATACATATATACGCCTTTTTTATTAGGTGAGGGAATGGAAGTTTTGAGTGAGTTCCCCCACTTTTTTCCCTAAGACTTCAATAAGTCAAAGTACAGGTCTAGACTTAATGATGATCATCTTCAAGCCATACTGAGGGTCTCAACTGCTTCCGCTCTAAAGCCAAATGTGGTTCAGATTTGTGAGAAGAAGCGCTGTCAAGTCTCTGGCAGCAAGAAGTAGGCAAAAGATGCCATGTTCAGAAGAACTGTTCATAATCTTCACTCAATGTTCTATTAATGTTCAGGACACTTCATGTTCAGAAGAAATAATTAAAACTGTTAATAATGACATTTGAGGACTTTTTTTGTGTGAAATCCCTTATGCGGCCCAGCCTCACCCAGACTTTGCCTCCTGCGGCCCCCAGGTAAATTGAGTTTGAGACCCCTGCCTTAAAGAATTCAGTAAATCCAATGAATCATTTATTCAGTGTATTGCCTATTAAGTGTATTCAGCTATTGCCTTAGCTCTAAATTTGTCCCACCTCTCTATGTCTCACAGGTGTTTTTATGGAGCGACCTCATAATCTGCACAGCACTGCAGACTTCACAAGCTCTACCTCAGGGAACCATCCCACAATTCCCTCCAACCAGTCCAAACCAGCATCCAACAGCAGCGCACAGACGCTCGCAGGTTTGTTTTTTTCTGCTCAGCCGGGAGGAACGGGGCTGGAAAAACACTGACACCTGTTTTATCATAGCTTTGATGCTTACTGCTGGAGAAAGCAGGTCATACCAGAGTACGGGTTGTCAACCAGTTTCAGTATATGGTTAATCTGCTCGCCCAGGTGTAGCTGTAAGCAGGTCAGCCCATATGCAGGTAAAGGCAGAACTATTAGCCCTTATGTGTATATTTTCCCCCAATTTCTGTTTAATGGAAAGAAGATTTGTTTCAACACATTTCTAAACATAATAGTTTTAGTATTACATACATAATATTTGACTAGATAGTTTTCAAGATACTAGTGTTCAGCTTAAAGTGACATTTAAAGGCTTAACTAGGTTAAAGTTAGTGTAATTAGTAGGGATGTAACGGTATCAGAATTTCACGGTACGGTAATACCTCGGTATGAATGTCACGGTACGGTATTTATTGAATCATTTACAGGAAAAAACAAAACTTAAATACTCCAAAAAAGTGCCAAAAGTGTCAATGACATACAAATTAGCCATCTATCTGTAAGCTTTGAAACAGGAACTTCAATTTTAATAACAAAAAAATATTAAACCATGTAAAAAAATAAAGTTTCAATTTAGTATTGTTGAAAACTCATCACATTCAACATTTAATCACTCACTCACTTAGATAGAAATGGGTTTAAAGGAAAATTATCATATAACTATAATCTGGTAAAAGCTGGTATCTCTGGGTATTTACAATGTCCCCTGCAACAGAAAAAAACCCTCTCATTTGGGACTGAGGTTTCTGGGACAAGAGAGATATGACTTGGCCCAGGTTGACAGCAGTGGGGAACGTTGTGCATTGTCTTTCCCCCACTTGAGAGGACAAACCATGAGTAAGATAGAGATCTCATGTCTGCATCAATCTGAACAGTGTGCTGTGTTTCTGCAGTCCCCATGACTGATTAGTCGTATTCCCCAACTTGCAGGCACGTGCACACACAGTGCTCAACCTGTGCAGTGCACATGCCCTTTTAGTCTTGGATAGAAAGTTCCCTTCCAAAATGATCAAAAGTGCCCCCGCGACGCGACATACCCTCCGTCCCAGCTTTACAGTACGCGCGCGACAACACAGCTGATAAGAACTCGCGCGACAACACGGCTATTCAGAACGAGCGCGACAACACAGCTGATAAGAACTCGCGCGACAACACCACTATTCAGTACGCGCGCGGCAACAACACCCGCTTTAGGGTTTTCCAGCTCTTTTTGATCCCCGCTTCTAGCAGCACACTCCATTTCCGCATTACTGGATCTGTAGCAACAACAGACCGCAAGGGATGATGGTCAAGCATGGGCTGATGGGAATTGTAGTTTCCGGTACCTCCCGTTCGCTTCATTCGCCTGAGCAAATTTTCTCCGAAGACCTATAGTTTTACCGAGTCATGCGACTACGGTAATATCGAAAAAAATTAATATTGCGGTATGACGGTATTTACAATACCGTTACATCCCTAGTAATTAGGCAAGTCATTGTATACCGATGGTTTGTTCTGTAGACTATTGAAAACAAATATTGCTTAAGGGGGATAATAATATAATGTCATCTCATCTAATTTTCTTCCACTTTTCTGGGGTCAAGTCATGAGGGCAGCAGTCTTAGGAGAGAATCCCCAGGCTTCCTCTTGCCCAGACACTTCTTTAAGCTCCTCCGGGGGGATCCCAAGGTGACCATAGGGGACAGTAGGAACATAGATTGACCGGTAAATCGAGAGCTTTGCCTTTCAGCTCAGCTCTTTCTTTACCACAACGAGCCGGTACATCGACCGCATAACTGCTGCCACTGTACCAATCCGCCTTTCAATCTTACGTTCCATCCTTCCCTCACTAGAGAACAAAACCCCAAGATACTTGAATTTCTCCACCAGGAGTAAACACTTTACTCCAACCAGGAAATGGCAAACCACCTTTTTCCGGTGGAGCACCATGGCCTCGGACTTGGAGGTGCTGATTTTTACTCCCAGCCACGTCACACTGGGCAGCAAACCACCCCAGTACATGCTGAAGGTCCATGTTTGATGAAGCCAACAGAACAACATCGTCTGCGAATAAGAGATGATATCCTGTGGTCGCAGAAATAGATCTCCTTCAGCCCAAGGCAGCACTTTGAAATTCTGTCCATAAAATTATGAACAGAAATTGTGACAAAGGGCAGCCCTGCCGGACACGCACTGGAAACAAGGCTGACTTATTGCCGGCAATGCGAACCAGACTCCTACTCTGTTCATACAGGAACGAGACAGCCCTTAGCAGAGTGACTCTGACCTCATACTCCCAGAGCTAAGTCCACAGAGTGCCACAAGGGACACGGTCGACTGCTTTCTCCAAGTCCACAAAACACAAGTGGACTGGTTGGGCATACTTCCATGAACTCTAGAGCACCCTGCTAAGAGTATAGAGCTAGTCCAGTGTACCACGGCCTGGACAAAAACCACATTGTTCCTCCTGTATCCTAGGTTCAACTATCAGCCGGATCCTCCTCTCCAGTACCCTGAAATAGACTTTCCCAGAGAGACTAAGGAGTGTGATCCCCCTATAGTCGGCAGATCGGGGAAGACCCAGGACATGCTGGAGGGATTATGGGCCCTATAATACACCCGGCACAGTGTGGCGCAAGGTGCGGTGCAATAGTCTTTTGCTAGTTTCAGCTTGGCGCAAGAGACGTTTTGAGGCGTTGCGCTACGCTGTTTAAATAGCAAATGCATTAGCGCTCATTTGTGCGCCCATAGGCGTTCTGGTCTAAAAACGAAGGCGTTCTGAGGCGGACCGCTGGCGCGTTGCTATTTTGAGAAACTAAAATAGATTTTTCATTAGACCAAAACAAACCCGGTCTAAACTCCAGCGCAGAGTTGCACCTCGCTTACACACTGCTTAATACACACAAGAGAGCAATAGGCAAATATCTTTACATATGAACAAAATTAAATATTAAGGATATATATAGGATATAATAAGAATAGATATAGGATATAAATATAAATGAATAAAATATTGCAAAACATATTATTTTCTAGCCTACATAAATATAAAAAATCCCTGCTTTTATGTCTTCTTCATCTCGGGAGGCTTTTTCAGTTCATTCATAACAGTTTGCTTTTGTATAATGTTATTATTATTAGCAGTATTATTTATTATATCCATATTTATATTTGTTTTATAAAAAACAAGCTTAGATTTGCCCACCTGCAGGTTTTAGACCATATGGGGCACAGCATGTGTATTTGGATAGAAGTCAGGTTTTTGAGCACACTTCGTTATTATTCTTCATTTAATCGTTTGCTGGAGATTAGAGCTGAATTTAGAAATAGTTTTGAAACTAATATTTGCGCTTAACAAACGCAATTAATTATTTATAGACTAATTGATGTCTGTGCGTAAAGGTTTCCCTATCCAAAAGTGAAAGTAGTTCTATTATCTCTCATTCTCACGCAGTAGATGTTCTGTTTACAGTTTTCTGTTAAAAAAAAACTGTGAACTGTTTGCTAGTGAAATGCTCAGTTTTTCCACTCAGACTTACTTTGCATCCTGTAAATAGCAAATGCGCTTATGGCGCGACGCAGCTGGCTCTTAAAGGGAATGGGAGATGAGACTCTGATTGGTTTATCCTCAAAACACACCTATAACTCATTAAGAAAATAAACTCAACCCTTTTAGACCATGCGCCGCGGCGCAAAGCGCATTTTTCCATCCGTAAATTAGCAAAGTTGCGTTCTGGCATGCCCTGAAAGCGTTTGCGCCCTGCGTTTTGCGCTCTGCGCATGGACCATCAAAATAGAGCCCTAAGTCTCTTGGCTGGCCTGGGAACACCTCGGGATCTACCTGGAGGAGCTGGAGGATGTGTCTGGGGAGAGGGGAGTCTGGAGTTCTCTCTAAGACTGCTGCCTCCGCGAACCAGCCCCAGAAAAGTGGACAAAAATGACATGAGATGAGATGAGATGAGATGAGATGAAATTCACAGGAAGGCTAATAATAATTGTGACTGTGGATATAGTCTAGCAAAGTGGTTCTCAGTTCAGTTTTTGACCAGCAGCTCTTATCCATCATCCAGGTCCTTTACCGCCCCCATCGAGTAAGAGCTATGCTGGTTGTGCTTCCCTGCATATTAAAGTGCCCCTATTGGGCCTTTTTGGATATTACCTTTAATGTAGTGACTAATAGAGCTGTTTTTTGAAGTTGTGCAGTTTTAAAGATCAAAGTGCAGATGGATGAAGTTGTTTTATCCTAAAAGACTGAAGTGATGCACAACTACCTGAAATGAGATGTCAGTAATTTCAGTATCATTCCTACACAAACCCATGTACAGTACTGTAGGCTTGAATTCAATTTGCTCACAAACAACAGCAAAGGTGGACTCGACATGCACATCCACGGACATGCACATTCACTACTTATATTGGTGCTCTGATGGTGAAATAATATAAGCAGTACCACATGTAATAGATATTTAAACATTTATTGTATGTGACTGGAACAAAAACAACCCATTTATACATGCAAGTAGTTCATTCATTCATTTTCTTTTCGGCTTAGTCCCTTTATTAATCTGGGATCGCCACGGCGAAATGAACCACCAACTATTCCAGCATATGTTTTAGGCTTCACCTAAAGCACATGTTTGGACTTGTGAGGGAAACCGGGAGGAAACCCACGCGAACATGCAAACTCCACACAGAAACACCAACCAACCCAGCCAAGGCTCGAACCATCGACTTTCTTGCTGTGAGGCGACAGCGCTACCCACTGTGCTGCTCCCTTTCGAGACTATTTAAGTTAATTTTATGCATTTGGCAGCATCTGATTTTAGAGCAAATTAATTTTTTAAATTTTTTCGTCTTTCCTTATTACAGTCCATCTCTGACAATTAGCTCGTGCTGCGCTTACTGTTTGTTTAACATTCTTACCACAATTGTGAATACTTCCGCATAACCTCTGATTGGGTCGGTCCATCTCGAA